AGTAGATTTTACTAGCTTTCTGTTTAGGAAAATGCAGACTAAGGTGCTCTGATGACAACATTGTCACGCTTTGTGTTGTGATATTGGGAACATTCATATTAAACTTAGGTGAGATCTTTCTAAGAGGTTGAGGACAATTATGGCTGCCTTTCTTGCAAACTCAAGAAGTATAGGGAGTTGAGGGGAACAAGCAAAAGGCAGGCATCCACTGTTAATGTCCGCAGAGCTCTGCGTTTCAGCTGAGCCACCACACTTGCACACTTTGGATGCGGGTGCTGGGAAGCCAGACTCCTGGCTTCATGCTTGTGTGGCCGTGTGCAGCAAGTGCCTTCCTTATCCATCCCCTGAGCAACCAGCCCAGCCTTCAGTCTTTGACCCTTCAGCTTCCACCTACCTAAGTGCTGGATCACTGGTGTGCACACCGTCCCAGCTCTCCATCCCAGCTCCCCTTTGTGTTTCAAACAAACACATACATACATAAACACATAACCTGAATGTAATTTTCTACAGCCATTTTTAGTTTTTAGCTTATTACATTTTGACTATGACCTGTCATGAGGTCAGGTGTGGATTTTTTTTTTTTTTACTTTAAAAGTTTGAGATTTTGGATTGCTTTGGTTTTATGAGGCAGGGTTTTATAATCCAGGCTAACCTCGAACTCATAATCCCCCTGCGTGCCAGATTGCAGGCACATACCACTACACCTGACACACTTTGGATTTTGGAGTAGGGGTGCTCAGTCTGTGTCTGTTCTTGGGGTATTTGTCACTGTGTGTCTGTGGTGGGGACATTATATAAGAATGTGCTACTGTACTACTTACTACTTGTCTCCTTGAGACTGAACAGTGACTGGCAGCTCTTAGTCAGAAGCGTTAGAGCAGCTGGTCTGTATCCACCAGAATCCTGCTTGGTAGGTAGATAGAGCATCTTGCTTTTTAGATACCATTTATCTACCATCCCAGCAAATGTGCTTGGGCAATTCCATGATAATATGAAACTATTTTATTCTTCCTCCTATATTTCAAAAGATACTTTAAATCAGAGGGGATACACCTTGTTTCATTTTTGGTAATTTGTTCTTCTAGTCTTTTCTACTGTGAATGGAACCTAGGGCTTTGAGCTTAATTGGCAAGTGCTTAACCACTGAGCTCTGTGTATCTCTAGCCCTTGTTCTTTTGAGACAGTGTCTCATTCTGTGCCTAGGCTTCCTTTGAGATTGAAATGTTCCTGCAACCATATCCTAAACACTGGAATTACAGAGTGTTCACTACTAATACCCAATTTTAGACCTTTTTTTTTTTTTTTTTGTGGAACTCATCTCTTATAACATAACATGCTAGTTAAGTCTCCTACCCTGGCTATAGCTCCTTAGTTTTCAAACATTGGTTATTTAAAGAGATCTCTGAAAAACCTATCACAAATAACCACCTCCAAATTACCTTTCTTACAAATCATTAGAATTCATTGTAACAAGAAGCAATATAGTTTTTTTAAAAATATGGATATACTGTATGAGTGCTTTAAATCAATTGAACTTTGTACACCTTTTATCTCAATAATGATAATAATAAAGTTAGATGAAATATTGTAGCATTTAGCAAAATGTTTGGCTCAAGTGAAATCTTTTTCAAATGAAAGCTAATATCCTTATTATCAAATTTATAATTCTCTATCAACAGTTTACCTTAAATACCAAATGTGAAAGGTGGCGATGAATTAGAGACACAGCTCAAAGTCACAAAAGTTCCTGGAGCAATTTTCTGAGACATGAGATGCAGACAATTTGAGTAGATTAAGAGTTTCAACCTTTCACTTTTTTTTTTTCCAGGATAGTGGTTGGTTATTAACCACACCAGTAAATAATAAAGCTATTAATTTTGCTCAGTGAAATGTTGAAGAGCCCTTTCAATCCACTGTGGATAGATAGTGTGGACTTTCCTGGAATACAGGAGGTAGAAGTGAGGCAGCAAGATGCTGCTTGGTTCCTGTATTTTCGCAGTTGCACAACCGTGTTAGGACAGCCAGCGCTTTCTTTCTGGCCTACCCAAGGCCGCTGGCTGGGATAACTAAGCAAGCTGTATTCCAAATAAGTCAAGGGAGGACTGGGAAGCAAAGGGGCTGCTGCTTCTTGGTCTTGCAGAAAGTGGGCCACTTGCCTCCTAGTCTGTTTATCTGCTGTGTTATTTTAGGTGCCTAAATTTGATGCTACTGAGCCGCCACTTTCTATCATTAGTATTGATTGGGTTTTCCCTTTTTTTTTTTTTTTTCCCCTACTCTGCTACTCCTAGTCCTCCTGGAACCAGTAGTGTAATGGTAAGTATTTAAATAAGCCTTACAAAGTTTTTGACCTAGTGAGGATTTTTTCCCCTCACACATCTTGGTGAAAACTTTGTAGACTCCAGCTGGTCTCTGTGGTTTGGCAGGGTTCATTGTTGCCTTGTTTGTGTGTAGGCTGATCCAACTGTTCTAAGGTACCCTGTCCTTGCATGCTTTGTCAAATGGCATCATTGTTTGTGGGCCATAGTCTGTTTTTCTTGGAGCTTGCATTACCTCCCCCTTTTCTTTTCTGTGTTTTTGTTTGGGGGGTCAGGGAGGGAAGGGAAAGGCTGTGCTGGCATCCCCACTCCTTTTGCCGTAGTCTAGGCCTCTGTTGAGTGGTGACATAAAGCAAAAGCGCCGGTGTTTTTGAGCTTTAGATTCAGTCTACGTCTGCTAATGATGCTTTTGTTTGTTTTGTTTTGTTTTTCAGACAGGGTAGTCTTGGCTGTCCTGGAACTAGCTCAGTAGACCAGGCTGGCCTCGAACTCAGAGATCCACCTGTCTCTGCCTCCTGAGTGCTGGGATTAAAGGCATGTGCCATCTCTCCTAGTGACTAATGATACTTTTTAAAAGCCATTGATTCTGGTAAATTCTCTATCAAATTCTATTCATTGAAATGTCAAGATATCAGACACCCGTTAAGTATTTTTTTTAAAGGTACACATACATGTTTAAGACTTAGACCATAGTGTTCAGCTTGTTATGCAGTTACCTCAGAATAATAAATTTATATATATTATTATTAATAAAATAAATTTACATTTATAACCAGGCCAGATCTTTTATTCTTTAAATTTATTATTATGACATACAATTGGAAAGAGTGCCAGGCTGGACTAGAGTACTAAACTTTGTAGTGAACTTTGGGAAAGAACTTTGATAGCATTCTGTCATCAAACCAAATGTCTAATTTTGGTGAAATACTTAAGCAGAATTAGTAAAAGAATACAGTTATATGCCAAATACCTAGCTGTCACTGTGTACAGACAGGGACTATCTGTATCTAGACATGTCCACCTGTGCCCTCTGATAGAAAGCTCCTATTTTCCAAGCCTTGCATCATGATCATTATTTTTTGTCTTTGTGTTTCATTATTTGTGTATTTCTAAATAATGTTTTCCAAGCTGGTGTAAATGCATTTATACTCCGGTTTTGGGTTTTGATTCTTTCCCTCCAATATTACATTTATAAGACTTGTTTATAAGACTCATTTCTATTGAATATAGCTGTTATAGAGTCTGTAGTATTCCTTTTATGAATACACCAGAATTTATTTTCTAGGAAAAAAAGAAAAGCATTAATGAGTACTAAGAAAACAAACATGGCCCAGTAAAATATGAGACAAGAATGCCCATCATGAGATACTTTTACATTTGTAATTTCTTCCTGTGGTTGTTTTTCATTGTTTGTTTTTAAACAACCACTTCTGGTCATTGGAATTAATCTGACAGTGTTCTAGGATGATGAAAATACCAGATTTTATCTAATCATTTAATAATTGGGCATTTGTTTGTGGTTTTTTGTTTGTTTGTTTTTTTGTTTGTTTTTCGAGACAGGGTTTCTCTGTGTAGCTTTGCACCTTTCCTGGAACTCACTCTGTAGCCCAGGCTGGCCTCGAACTCAGAGATCCGCCTGGCTCTGCCTCCCAAGTGCTGGGATTAAAGGTGTGCACCACCACTGCCCGGCTTGTTTGTGTTTTGCTGCTAAGAAAACTATTACCAAGTTACTATTTTGTTAGCATGTATTGTGGTGCATGCATGCACATACTTCTTTAGGACAATATTTCTCAAAGTATTTTGAATATTTTAGGAATGCGGATTCTTGGCGTGTGTGCCCCCCACCCCAGTACCCCTTTCAGTCGGAATCTCTGGGATAGGTCTAGGAAACTAGAGTAGGCTCTCAGGATGAATCTCCACATAGTTCAACCTGGGAAACCGCTGCCCTGGGTCCCTACCTGGAACGGGCCTCTGAGCCACCACTAGGTGCACTTGTAGCTTGCTGTTGCAGATTGGAAATGTAGTTTTCCACGGGGCTTGTATCAAGCTTCACTTAGCACTAGGGGTGCTTGGCCCTCTCTGTACCTCTGCAGCCTGTAATGGAAACTAATTTTAAACTTAGAGTTTTATAAATAAAATTTGAATGGTTTTTGAGTTCATTTTTAACTACAGTAAATCTGAAAGAACTGACTTAAATTTATTAAGAATTTTCTAGAAATATTAGGAAAGTTTTCAAACATACGCTGAAATATACTGGAAAAATAAGCTTCAGGTCATGCACAACCTGTGGTTCATTGTATTCTCTTACATTTGCTTCATGACTACCTTTGAATGATTTTAAGCCAGCTTTCTGGTATGATGTCCTTTTACCTTGTATGTTCAAACATGAGTATCTAAAATAATGAGCCATTTTCTTGATGTAAAGACAATGTCTTATATCCCAAGGGGCATTTTTTCCCTTGAGTTAGAACATTGTAACATGTATAAAAATTCTAAAATAATGATACAGTTTCTATTGTTTGGATACTTAGAGCTAGAGGTTTTGACTTAAAATTATTCTTTCAAAAATTTTTACCTCTAATAAATTCAACTAGTCATATGATCAAGCTGAATGTTACCTGTTTCACCAACAGAGTGAGAAATCTAGGCTTCTTGAAATAATTACTTAAATAAGGTAATTAACTTTGAAACATTGATATAAAAGAATTACATTCTTATTTTGGGCCATCCTCCCCACCCCCTACCCCCAATTCTTCAAGAACAAGAAAATGTTCCAGAACAGAAGTGAAGTTGATCACTTACTTGCTAAAACTCAACATGTGATTTTTTTTTTTCCTTCTTTTGTTAATGAGTACAGTAGAGAACTAAATAGTACCCAGTTCTGAAGAGCAGCTCCTGGGAGCCCAGACAGATGTCCCTCAAACCCTGCTGCTGGCTTGCTTTTCAGTTGTTCATAGTGGCAGTGTTTAGAGAACCCAAGCAGTGGGTAGTTGGGGGTTTGTTTTTGTTCACCATGCTGGTCACTGGAATTGAGAGAGAGGGAGAGAGGGGCCGGGGGACTTTTTAGGACTTTAGTTAGGGAGGCAAAAATTAAGTAATATGCTATGTTATTAAGCAGTTCAGATTGATACTTAGTTCTTACTTTTCTTAAAATTACAGTAATTGAATTAAATACTAAGTCATGTTGGCTAGGAAGTTGACTATCACCCTATATAATGTGTGTTTAAAATATAAATGTGTTATGCTGGAGAGATGGCTCATCAGGAAAGAGTACTTGTTGCTCATCCAGTGGACCCAGGTTCAATTCCTAGCACCTGTTGGTGGTTTTTTTACTCTTCTTTGGAAGGCCTGCCACCCAGCTCCCAAATAAATCACACACGGAGGCTTATTCTTAATTATGAATGCCCAGTCTTAGCTTGACTTAGTTTCCAGCCAGCTTTCCATAACTTAAATTACCTCGACTTCCTTTTACCTCTGGGCTTTTCCTTTTCTCTAAATTCTGTAAATCTCACTCTTACTCCATGGCTCACTATGTAGCTGGGTGGCTGGTCCCTGGAGTCCTTCTCCTTCTCCCAGATCTCTCCTTCTATATATTCTCTCTGCCTGCCAGCCCAGCCTATCCTTTCACTACTGGCCAGTTCTTTATTAGACCATCAGATGTTTTACACAGGCGCACTAACACAGCTTCACAGAGTTAAAAAAATGCCACATAAACAAAAGTAACACATCTTAAAATATAACTACAAGCACCCACATGGCAGCTCACAACTATCTGTACCTTAAGTTCCAGGGAATCTGACACCCTCACTCACATACAGGCAGGCAAAACACCAGTGCACATAAAATAAAAATAAAATCATTAAAAAATATATAAATGTAGATTAGGGTTGAAGGAGAAATGAACAGAGTTGGAAAGGAGTAAATGGACAAAGGATGTCTTTGTACAGTGGGAGAGAGAGAGAGCGAGAAGAGAAGAGATAGAACAAATTTGTATGAACAATTTGTGAGTGAGAAGAGCAGGCACAGGTAGGATATCTCTAGTGGTATTTCAGCTGTAGTGGTACAGGTATAAGCAGGCATCTGTAGTGGTACTCCAGTGGATAGCAGACATCTGTGTGTAGTGTACACCAGTGGATAGCAGACATCTGTGTGTAGTGTACACCAGTGGATAGCAGACATCTGTCTGTAGCGGTACTCCAGTGGATAGCAGACATCTGTCTGTAGCGGTACTCCAGTGGATAGCAGACATCTGTCTGTAGCGGTACTCCAGTGGGTAGCAGACATCTGTCTGTAGTGGTACTCCAGTGGATAGCAGACATCTGTCTGTAGTGGTACTCCAGTGGATAGCAGACATCTGTCTGTAGTGGTACTCCAGTGGATAGCAGACATCTGTCTGTAG